TTGATATTTATAATGAATATAATCAAAATATTTTTTGGCCTTATCGTATTGATCAGAACTAATTTCGACTCCATCCCGAACAATCATTTCCATCCATGGCCAACGTTGTGGACCTTCGGTATTAGAGTTGACCCGTCCAGATGAAATACCGGGAAAATCAACCTCTCGACGAGCAGCACAATTCATTCTCTTAGTTTTTTCGATGAATCCCGCCAAGTTGGCTATTGATCCAACATGTTCAGCCACTTGTCTAGCTTTTCTTTGAGTTGAAAGCAGTATAGACAACGATACATAATTGGATTTGCTTCGATAATTCGTCTTTGATCTTCCTCCATTTTCTCAATTTCCTGAACTTCGTCACGAGCAGCAACAATCCAGAAGTTTTCCTTGGTTGTCTTTTTCTCTTCTGGACCAGAGAAGTTTATCAATCGTTCACCTGGCACGATCGTTTTGTCCCACCTTAGCATTGAAGTGACCAAACCATCCTCTTCATACCATTTCGAGATCTGAAGGCCACTCATTCATCACCTCACTCCTCGCTTGCAAAATAGGAGGTTCATCGGGAGTTCGAATCGCGGTATTAGAAGATGGTTCGTCCATTCGAGAAGAAGACGAGTAATACGACGGTCATCGATTGTCGAAGTTGATGGTTGGGGTTGCTCAATAGCTGAGGTTGAAGGTTGAGGTCAACGTTGGATGGAGAAGTGTTGATCAGCAGAAGATCGAGGTTGATTAATATTCATCTCTTCAAGTGACGGCATACTAATATATCTTGAGGTTGATTGAGACACTATTTGTTAAAGAAAAATGGAAAAGAAGAAATCAAGTAAAAAATGATTGAAATTGAATAAATAGATCAAAGCCTATTCATTTACATGGGAAAATGTTAAACCCATTTACTGACTTAAAATTGATGAAATAAAAACGCATGTAAAAACGTCATTCTCATGTAAAGAAGAAAGGATAAGAGTGAAAAAATTTTTGGAATTGAATAAATAGATCAAAGCCTATTCATTAACATGGGAAAATGTTGCACCCATTTACTGACTTAAGAATTGATGAAATAAAAACGCATGCAAAACGCGTCATTCTCATGTAAAGAAGAAAGGATAAAGTGAAAAAATTGAATTGAATAAATAGATCAAAGCCTATTCATTAACATGGGAAAATGTTTAACCCATTTACTAACTTAAGGATTGATGAAATTAAAACGCATGTAAAACGTCATTCTCATGTAAAGAAGAAAGGATAAGTGAAAAATTCTTGGAATTGAATAAATAGATCAAAGCCTATTCATTTACATGGGAAAATGTTAAACCATTCACTGACTTAAGAATTGATGAAATAAAAAACATGCAAAACGCGTCATTCTTATGTAAAGAAGAAAGGATAGAAGTGAAAAAATAAATTGAAATTGAATAAATAGATCAAAGCCTATTCATTAACATGGGAAAATGTTTAACTCATTCACTCACTCAAGATGTTGAACATCTGGCAACTTAGATCGTTAGCTAAGGAACAAAGTTAAAAATGTGTGGTTATGAAATGAAGGTATGCAAAAGTTAAGTGTAAACAAGTACAAAATGATCAAATTTCAAAAAACATTATCATAAATGAGCAAAGTACAGAAGTATATTAAATGTGGAATTTGGACCTCAACATAATTGATGGAAAAACAATGACGATAGACAAGAACTAGAGTCACGTGAATCAATTTATCTAACTGTAAAGGATCCTAGCTATAGTCATACAGAAGATCATAAAGAAAGATATCTACAATTCATAATGTTGTTATGAATCTTGGTCTAAAGCAAAAGAGAGAGATATAAACACTAGAGAGAGAAATGAAGTCAAAGGAACTAAAAGAGACTAAAAGAGACTGAGAGAGAGAGAGATTAACATAGGAGAAAAAGACACAAGAGAGAGAGAAAAACAAAGAGAGAGAGAGAAAACACAAGAGAGAAGAAAACAAGAGAGAAAACAAAGAGAGAGAAAACACAAGAGAGAGAAAACACAAGAGAGAGAGAGAGATAAACACAAGAGAGAAAGAGATAAACACAAGAGAGAGAGAAACACGGAGGATGGATATAAACACAGGAAGAGATAAACAAATCAAGAATTGAAATGGTGGTATTTCTTTAAAATTATCACATTATCCAACGTTATCGTAAATTGTAGATAAAACGAATGATTTAAATCAAAACAACTTACTTTTTAATGGTTGGTTGTTAATTTTCGATGTGGTGTAATAAAAAGATGACTTTAACTTTTTCTTGTGGATATAATCCAGGTATTTTATATCACAAAGATTAGATTGAATTATTAATTTAATAAATTAAATTAAAGATTGAAGATTAAAGAAACTTTAAACAAAACTTCAAAGAAACTTTAAAAGAAAACTTGATTATTAAATTTTAAAGATAAACTTCTATTTATCGTTTTACTTACGAATCTGTATGATAAAATGAATATTTTACGCTCATTCATTCATTTATAAGAATTATAATGGATGTGACCTGGAATTGAAAATGCCATTATGATCATTAAGATCGTTAATGATCTTTAAGATCATTAAGATCGTTAATGATCTTTAAGATCATTAAATCTCTTTAATGATTATAAAAATTATTAAATAGGGTGAAGGAAAGAGAGGTGGGAAATAGGTCGTGAAGTGAGTTAATGATGTGTGGAGGAGAGAGGAAAAGAAATTAAACTCAGGGTTAATTTGAAAAAATAAAACAAGTTAATGTTGAAGAGAAAGGGGGAAAGAAATTTGAAAAGAAAGAAAGATTAGAAAAGAAAGGTAAAAGGAAGGTGTAAAGGTAAATTGTGCTAAAGTGGTATGCTTTGTCTACTTCCAATATTTTCAACAACTCATCACCTTTAATTATTAATTATTATAATTAACCAATAACTTATTAGTAATAAGTTAAAGTTAATAAAGATTGGTCCTTAATTGGACTTGAATAATCAATATCACTGTTAATATAAAGATAAAACAATCCAAATCATTTAATTAGATATGGAAGATTATTATGAAATACTGATAACAGAGATGTGAATACTAGTAATTAATTGAATAATATCGATTATTTGTTTTGATTTTCATATTCATCAGCATCGCTCTAATCAGTGGTTTCATCAATATCTGACCAAAAGTAATTTGAGTTTTTATTTGATGATCCTAGATGAAAGTTAGTACTTGCTTTGCTTTATTAGTATAATTAGTAAATTTAATTTTGGCTCTCATTGTGTGGCTGGACATGTTAAAGGACATGTCCATTTACCAATAGGGCTCAGTTCGAATCGGAGTGGGATAAACTTAGGTTAGGTATCTACAGATTAGGTGGATATATCCACAAGATAATCCGACGTTTTTTAGTAAAAATAAACTTTAAGAACCAAGATTCCAACTACCAATCTTATTTAACTAGAACTTGACTAAAATTATTAACTATTCATTAACTCGTTAATTGTTCATAACATGATAACAATTTTGTAACTAATCCATTTAGTTATAAGTTCTGTTGACTGATAATGATCAAAACTGATTTGTAGATATGTTTTAATCGACATTTACCAATGATAATTGAAAACTAATTGATTACTAGGCACAATTATAAAGAAAATATTAGAGTAATTAATTAAAGGTATTTGCAGATGAAAATATGAAATTATGTTATTAACAAAGTAAATCTCTAAGTCAACAACGATCAAGTCTAACTGTATCAATAATTAAACTGTAAACTAATTGGAATTAGAATCAGCTCAAGTTGATTGGTTGATCATTGGAAGAAAACTGATTTAGCTCATTTATCAATCAGGTGAAGTTGATGTAACAATTTGATACTATCACTTACAATTAATTAGATCTTATCTCAGAATCAATTGACTTTTTTATCTCCATCAATGTGACACTAATTAAAACCTTCTGTAGTTCATTTAACAATCAATTTTAACAATCTCTCACTTTCACTCTCTCACATTTTAACAACCACTACAATTTATATTGACAATATACTTCTACAATTTAATCAGTAATTAACCTTGAGACCGACCTCTTGACGGGAAAGATGAAAATCAATTAACTAGATTGAACATCAATGGAAAATTAACCAATGCTTGTGATTAAACATACATTTACCCTAGTGAACACAATTAAGTAATCGCGTTGATCGCTAATGACCTGTGTACGTGCTAATTAATAGTGTTTAGATTGTATTGACGTCAATAAGAGTTAATTGTTAGATGATTGTTAATTAACTTTACATGTAGAGGTGCAATGAAAAGTTATCATTACAATTGTAAAGGTGATGATGATCCATATGAATACAAGATAATCAATGTATCATTGTAATTACAAGAATGTAATTGTTTATCGTGATAATAAAATGATGATCAAAGTACAGTTACAATTAAAGAAGAAAGAAACATCACTTTCAATATTAATTAAATTGTTGCAATATTTTAACATTGATTAAGTTGATTAGATGTTAACAATCAAGAAGAGAATCTCTAATAATCAAGGACAGAGATTGGTAACAATTAAGAAATAGTTATGAAATTAACTTAATCATATTTACCTTGACTCGAAATTCAATCACTGCAGTGATTGAATTAACTAACGAATGGTTAGTTAATTCACTCGGATTGATTTAATTTGATTGTTTTCTTTTTGGAGGGAAAAAGGTTAACCAGCTGAAAAATATTCTGATGATTAATTAGCTAATATTTTAGTTTCTCAATAACAATTAACGAGGTTGTTTATTTTTCTTTCTTTCACTAATTATTGTGTATCTAATTAGTTGATGTTTACTTGTGATAAATTGTATCTTTAATCATCAATCTGTTGATTTCTCTTGATAATCAGAAAGGGAAAAGGTCATTGAATTGAAGACCAATGAAGGGCAATGACATTTTCCAGTTACTCAATAAATTGATCATGTGGTTGTTCAGATTTTCTTTCTCTTCTTATTTAGTGAGAGAGGATAACAAGTTGATCTTGACCTTAACCCAGAGAGAGCCCTTCGGGAAGTGATCGGAGAAACGTTAATCATATTATTAGAGTGGTTTTAATCACCGATCTCAGCAAGAAGTAATCAACAGAAGCTCCGTCATGACAACAAGGCCCACAAGAAATCGGACTCAGGACAGGTATTTTTATCTTCTCTCTATCTCTTATTATGCAATAATCTTATGAGAGAGAGAGAGAGAGAGAGAGAGAGAGAGAGAGAGAGAGAGAGAGAGAGATGAAAGATGAGAGATGAGAGAAGATGATAAACTGACGGAGGGGTTTTTCTTTGAGGGTGAAAAGAAGGGCATGTTCGCAGGAGAAAAGCTGAACTGGGCTGGAGATCATTTTTGCCTTGATTTTGACAAATAATTCACGGAAGAGATTTTTCTTTTTGCTTCTTGTTCGGGCGATCAGAGCAGGAAAGAAGATGAATTAAGGAGCCATGATGATAGAGAGTAGAAAAAAGGACAACCCCTGAAAGAAAAAATTGTTCGTCCGCCTTGATTAATGAAGATAATGGAAGAAAAAGATGACCATCTTGTTTCAATTTTCTCTTTCATTCCGGATTCTCTTCCACCCTAACATATAAAAAGACCTCGTTTCTCATGAATTTCTTCATTTTTCTTATTATATCCTAATCACTGTTTCCAATTAGAAAAAACAATTTCTCTTTCGTTCTGTGTGTGTGTATCTCAATCTCCTTATACTCTTTCAACGATGCATATCAAATACCTCATTTTGGCCTGTGTTTTCATCTTCGCCCGAATTGTCCTTGCCTCTGATTCTGCTCGACGTAAATCGGAAGAGGAAACATCCGACAATGCTCTGAACTACGATCACAAAGATGTCACCCAACGATCGGGATTCATGTCACTTATCCAAGACGGTACAGTTCCCACTTTCCTTGTAATGGGTTTAGCCACAATCGCTGCCGCTGCTTTAAGTGTAAGTGATTATTAATCTTAATCAACTGATTAAAATGCTCTTCTAATGTTACACAATCAAAGTAATAGAATGATTCTAATCTAATCTATTCTCATTTTGCTCTTTTTTTCCTTCATTCTATCCCAATAGTCCAAAAACGAAGGTAAATTACGCGTACGACGATCAACCGACGCAAATTGGTCCAACAATTTACTCAAAATTCTCGGTAATGTTCAAAAGGCCGTTGAAAAGTACCAACAATTAGAAAACGAGATCGCTAATGAATTAGACGATGATATGGTTCGTGATTTCAATTCCAAACCAACTGAATAAATTAAATCTTTTTACTCTAATCCATCATTCAATTTTATCCCACCAATTAAAACCTTGTTATCATCAAATGTTAATTGTTTCCTAATTTAACTTTTATCATTGTTTCGCCATTGCCATAAACAAATCATATTAAACAATCAACTCAATTTCATTTACTATCAACTGATAAAGTCAATTACTACGATGAGCTTTTCATTTAATTCGTAGCTTCGTATGAACATAATTCTGTGTATAAGTGAACATTTATTTTACTTTAATTTTAGTCTTTAAACTGAAAAATGAAAGATGATTAACAATTATAAATAGAAAACGTAATTGAATTGATTAATAGCATCGAGAATAAATCTTTTTCATAATTCTCTATTCTGGACATTGGTTGATTACCGAAATTAATCATGACCATGACCATGAAACCGTTATGAGAGTCATTAAGATGAAACCCGACATTAAGGCCACCAGTTGAATGAGGCCATTGATTTCGGGACATCGATCGGCTTGAAGAATCTCAAGGAAAACGATGTATAAAATGCCCCCGGTGGCAACAGCGTTTAACAGTATAAGCGGTAAACTGCCATCTTCTGAAAGTCCTTGTTCAATAACGATGGACAAGAAGATACCAAGAGGTGACATGGCCGCGAAAATGGTCATATGGATAGAGGTCAGTATAAGGGAACGTGTTTTCTCAAACAGCTCAAAGCCAATGGCGAAAACAACTACGAGCTTATGAAGGCAAATGGCAAAGAACATGGTCCAAACGGAGGTTGCTGTACTTTGGAGGCCAATCGCGATTCCATCAAAAATGGAATGAGCCAGAAAAGCTACTACGATGATCAATCCTCGAAGAAATCGTGTCCAAACTCCTTCAACATGACCCGATGTCGGCTCATGATGATGACCATTAGATTGCTGGTGAAATGATGATATTACAGTTATATCATCACCTTTCAGATCAATGGCAATATTATCACAACCAACTTTACCACCATGATGATCACCATTTTCACCGGAACTATTATGTTGATGATCAATGTGGTTATGATGATTATGATGATGATGATGAGCTGAATCTCTTCCAATCAATAACAACACTGATTCTTCAATGAAATAGGTTAAAAAAAGACCTAAACAAATACAAATTTCCACCCAAGGAACAGAACCATGAGAATGTTCATCTTCACCATCATGATGAATCGGGTGTTTGTAAATATTATCACGAGAGTTTGAAGTGTTGACAATTATCTCACTTCTTTCCATTAAGGAGGTTGAAGTATTAGCAATTAGTTCATTATGATCGTGATCATGTTCATGTTCATGTTCGTGTTCATCATGGTTATGTGTAGATTCACGAGTTTCCATGTAGTGGTCATAATTTTCCTGAATTTCGGGAATCATGTGAACAAAACAAGTAGCCAAAAGGACACCACCACCAAAGACCAGTAAAAGTTGTAGTATTTTATTAGCGGTAGAATTTGAATTATTTGTTCCATCCTGTTGATTGTTTTCTTTTTTCTTTTTCCACAGATTAAACACCAGAACGGGTCCAAGACCAGCGACCATTGTAAGTCCGAAAAGAGCGAAAATGGCAACGACACGGGCACCGGTTACACTCATAGTCAATTATGTAATTAAATCTCTGAGCTGAAGAGAAAGGAACACAAATAGTTGAGAGAAAAAGGAGAGAAAATGGAAAAAGTTGAACAGGTAAAAAATGAAACAATCAACTAATCATTAACTGTACTCTTACAGTAAAGCTCAGTGAGTAAGGTAAATGTTGACTAATCTACTAAGATGTTGATGTGTTAGTTTAAATACTTCACCTGAAAGTGTCGCTAGTTACATAGAGATGTTGATAACGATTTCTATCATTTCTTTTTTACATACAAGTGAAAATTATTACAAAGGATTATATGAATTTACGATGATGATTTACAATTAACAGGGGGAACAATTAAGGGTAAGAATTTAATTCGCGAGAGTTTTACAATAACTTGTAAATTAATCTTTTTCGCTTGTTTCTTTTGATTATTTTCTGATTGACTATTTGGACTTAGTACAATTAGAAACAGTTTAACTGATTAACGTAAATTGATTTATAACAAATTATTGAAAATATTTGTTGATTTCGATTACAATGACTTTGGAATGGTTAGAAAAATATATTCAATTACATTTACGTTTTGTTGTAGTTGTTGATTATCAATCGTTGGTGATCAAGTCATGAGATGGAAGTCAATTAAATGGTCAAATGTAAATAAGAAGCAATGAAAACTTTGAATATTTTAAATAGATTGTTGATTGCTGAATGAGAAAGAGATTCATGGTTATCCGATAATTTGTGCCATACGGAAGGAAAAGGCATCGGAATTATATGAACAATGGGAACTCCTCGAGCGGCGAAAGGTTTATGATCATCATCGACTCCTCCGAAACTCAGACGGTTCTTGAAATAGCTTGTAGTTGTTTTTGGTGGTTCAGGTTGTAGCAAAGATAAATCATTCAATTGTTGTTCTAGGAAAAAAAAGAGAAGAGATAAAAATTGTTAATCGAAATGAACTGATTGTGCCATTTATATTACATGTATAGCTTACCTGCACGAAGTATTTTGGCATAAAGAGGATTAGTATCGGGGAAATAGCTGTAAAATGTTGGATTAGCTGAGCCGAGAAGATCAAGTAAAACCATTACATCAATACGATCTAATTCAGAAGCAAAGTCACGGGCATCTCTGACGATCGGCTTGATTCTTAGGGAATCTTAACTTGTTCCATTTAGCAGCTAAATGTCGAGAGCCATAAAGAGAATCTGTGTCAGTCCATTGTTCGAATGCTTCTTCACCGTCAAAGAAGACAAACTGAAGCGTCAAATCATTATGTTCCTATGGAATAAAAAAATTAAATAAAAATGAATAAAAGGAAATACAGTTGAATATGAATAGAAAATTGAAAATATTTACCTGTTTGTGTTTAATTAAACTCGTTGAAAAATGTCGAGCAATTTCAATCATCATTGCACATGGAACCGCTGAATCAGTGGCACCAACGAATTGCCGACCAGGAAAAAGTTTAGAATCATAGTGACAGGCAAACATTAATCGACGACACGCCGATGGATTTAATGTCGCAATTATATTAACAAATGGTTTAGATCCATGAGGTGTATTGGACATGAAAGAATCTTCTTCAACTGTCCAACCAAGATCTCGCATCGAAGATTCAATGAACTATCAAGTATATAAATTCAGATCGAAAATGAATAAATAATCAAATCAAGATTAAGATTAAGATAAAAATCAACAATTTAATGAGTGATTTCCGTATTGAAAGCCACAACTTATAAATAGAAAAGGCCAAAACAATTTAATAAAATGAAACTCAATCATTTCATCTGAATAGTTTTGATGATCTCTCAGTGAATCTAATAAATGTATGTTTATCTAATAAATCAAATTAATTTATATATCTGATTGGAGTATTTGTAATGATAAAGGTGAATGTAATTAACTTTTAATTAACTTACATATAGTATAAGAATTTAGTATGTAAATAGGTTTATAATTACATTCAGTGAGTTAATTTTACATTCATGGTGAGTTATATAAAATTAATCAATAAAACAACAACATTGATTAGTTGATTAATGTTTACCAACCAGTGAATGTTATTTGGTGGATTAACATATTATGTTTTATTAAATTGTAATCTCATAATATACATTATATATTATAAGATGTCAATGTCAATCTAATCAACACCTACATTTACCTTAAATTATTGGGTATTTGGGGTTAGGTTAATCTATTTTTGTTCTAATTGATTAGAGTAATAATTTAATCCATTGGATTTGTATTACTACACTGAATGTTAAGCTAAAATAAAATATTGTTATGATTAAATTCTGGCATTTCCGTTCATCAAGTTAATTGTTGATTAATTTACACAATAAATGGTTAACTATTAAATACGATTGTTAATTTCTATCCTACTAATATTAGGTATCTAAACAATATACTAATTGTAGTGAGTGGGAGCTGTTTGTTTGATCATCATCATCATCATCATTTCAAACTAGAATGACAATTAAGTAAATAACAATTACATTATTGTCAAACGTTTATACAGATGAACAGGTAATTTATTGAATTGATTGTTAAATTGTTGCTTTTTATTATTTTCACCAGAATCAATTCAATAGTAAATAATATCAGATATAAATTAACCGGAATTATTTTTTGATTGACATTGATTGTAATGCAACAATTAACTTGACAACGAATGAAAAAAAAAAATTACATCTTGTTAAGGTTTTTCTTTTAGGTTAATATATATATTGTTGATTAGAAAAACACAATTAATTAGTTAATTGTGGCAATTAAATGGATAATAATAGTTACCTCTCGGACTTTTCTGTTTCCTTCTGTTCCGGAAACTCGAGGAATCATTATTTGATTCAGTGTGTAATTAAAGTAATCATGAGCTGTTGGTGAATCACTGGCGATTGAATATAATTCATTTGATTCCATGTATTTTAATTGATGATGCCACTGTAATTAGAGAATTAGATTTAATTAATTATAGTTGTGATATAATGATATATTCAAGGTAAAATAAAGGTATCAGATGAAAACAATCAATCAGATTCAATTGTTTCAGTTGAATAACATTGATTGAGAGGAAGAAAAAAATTATATTGTAAAGGGAGTTGCATTTAAAAAGTATAACTCATCTTACTTTAGATTGTGATGAAAATGATGAGAATGAAGATAAAAAGATGAAGATGATGAAGAAGATAAAGAAGAAACAAAACATAAACAAACTCAATTTGTGATCAAAGAGTAAAGAAGAAAAGACTTCAGCTCTATGAGGAAAAGAGAAGTTACAAAACATTTCTCTTTCCTCTAAATTGTTAATTGTTTAATTTTGATTGTAACTAACTCTTAATTATAATCCAATGATTAATATCTTCATTCTTATCATTTTCATCACAATCTAAAGTAAGATGGGTTATACTTTTAAACGCAACACCCTTTAAGATGATTAGTATTGTGATTTACTCTGATTAAAGATCTAAAGTTGATAATGATATTAATAGTTATATAAATTTGATTTGGTAAACAAAGTTAATTGTTACAGGAATAATTGTTAAGGTCTAATTTTATGAGGATGTAAAATGGTAACAATGAAAAATAAAACAATTAAGGTCACAATAGTTTGTCCTCAAAACTAATAAATTCAATTTACTAATCATTACCCACTGAGTTTGGTAACATCATTTAACAATTGACTGTTGATTCTGATTAATATCAGGAACAAAAAACTGATTCTATTAATAATAGAGCTCATTAAATGGTCTCTTACATGTCTCTTAATTGTGAGATTCAACCTAATTTACATGAATGTAATCGAATCAAATTGAAAATATTTACTAATTTGTCGAGAAGGAGAATTACTCACAATTGGATCAGCTGTTTTTTTGGATATTTTAGTGAACTATTAATAAATTGTTGAAGAATCAAAAATTGTAACTTTCATTTCTAATCTGATATTGAAAAATTAAAGGTTGTCAACATTACCTGTTTTGGATCCCAATTAACAGCTCCAACTGGATCATTAGATACTGTATTAGTTGCTATGATTCTTATAATATTAACAAGTGACCAGAGTGAAAAATTGCCCATGATTAGATTATATGGTTGATTAAAGTTGATGATGATTTGTAAATTTTATGAAGATTAATTAACACAATAACAAAAAGGTGAGTATAATTGGTGTGAAAACATGAAGAAACAAGAAGGATAAATGACAAACTTGAAAACAATGAGAATAATTTAGTCGTTAGAATTGAATACAATTGAATTTGTATCATAAATTTCAACTGATTAATCACAATATGGAATTAGAATCAATAAATGTCACCAAATTGTTGATAAAAATAGCAACACGTATCCATTTGAATATAACATTAACAAGCGAAAAACATTAGATGAATACAATTGTTTAAATGTGTTGACGGGTAAACACATGAAGTCAATAAGACAACAAGTTTAACTGGTTGGCTTGATTGTAACAATTTATAGTAAAGGTGAGTAAGAAAATAACTTGTTGATATAAATTGATGTTTGTTGTTAACATACAGACTCACTTTGAGTTGATAAAATTAGATTCAGCTCAATGTAAAGATGACAAGAATTGACAATTTTCTGGTTTACTGGTACATATAAACATAAATCTATAAGAAGAGGGAAAATAAAAGTAAGAAAGAACAAGAAATAAAACCGAAAATGAGAAATAATAATAAGATTATAAAAAGAATAAAAGAAAAGAAAATATTAAATCAAATTGTTAAAAGAAAAGAACAAAATTTTTACCTTTTCTCCTCCATGTTGAATAGTAAAAGACAATTAAAGAGACAATTTAACACGTTCCATCTTCCAATCAAAAGTATCAATCAGTGAATAATTTATCTTCGTTCACCAAACAATTAACTAATTTTACCAGAATAACAATTGGTTTGATTTGAGGAGAGAAAATTAATTTTAATTACAAATCAACAAAAGTGAAGATTCACCGATTAACCGATTAAAAGAAAAAACCGCTGAAATTGAGAGAAGCGTTTAAATGGAACGCGGGTTTCGAATAACCGAAGTAACCGAATTCTGTTTACAATTTTTCATTTTCTTCCTTCATCATGATGATACTTCACTTCTGACTTTGATGAAACCATCAACCACTCTCTGAATACATTGGATATTTAAATTAATCGAAATTCCATCTAAATAGTGATTGTCTTTTCTTCTAATTGTAAACTAATTCCTTGTAAAATTGTATCAAAAATGGTAAGTTGAATCTCTTCACTTTGGTTAACTCATTCAACTTCCTCCATTAGCTTTTTTTCTCTTTTCTCTTTTTCTTTTTCTATTCCACCATTTTATTAGTATTCAGATTTTCGGAATTATCGAAATTGTTTTATTTCAACTTTACCTTTTTTCCCTTTCAATTCTCTTACAGTCTACTACTGAATTTCTGAAGGGCCTCCTGTTTATAATGCAAATAATTTTAGTCGATTTCAAGCAGACTCATTTAAATCGTCTTCTAAAACCTTCGGTTTATCTTCCAACGAAAGATTTTCCATCTGAACAGAGTAAGTATTTTATTCTATTTAAATTTATTCTATTCTATTCTATTCTATTCGTACCAATCATCTTAATTGTTAATCTTCTATTCTGTCAAACAATCATTGATTTAAGGTGAAGATGGTCCTCTTAAATTTCGCTAATTGCTTAATCACTTTCTCTTCAATATCTTCTAATTTATCTTTTTGGTACTTCAATAAGCATAACTTAATTGTAATCAAATTTTATTTTCTCTTTTACTTTAGCCATTACCACAGAAGGAAGCAACATATTTTTACGATTTTTACACCAACAATGGGACAAAAGTACATCAAGAAATTTGAAAAAGCGTGATAGTAATGGCGACCAAGAAACTGGAATCACCAGGAAAAAGCTAAAGACAGAGACAAGTCCCTGTAGAACTTAATTTAGAGCCAAAATTACAACCTAATAGCAACAATAACAACAACAACTCATCTCTACACGTTTATTAATCCACCAAAAAAGGCCTACGAATAATTTTTGATATAAATGTTTACGAAACAATTTTCATCTTCAGAATGGTTAATATATTATATGTGTGTGTCTGTGTATCTGTGAGAGAGAGCAAGAGAGGAATAGATTATCTTCCAACTTTCAACATCCATGATTCCTCATGTTTCCTTTTTTCTTTTTCCCCAATGCAAAAATTTCCTTTCAAATCCCATATAACACAAACAACAATAATATTCGATTGAATGTTCCTCAATCTTTCTCTCTCTCTTTCTATCTATCTCTCTCTTAACTATCAACAGCATGTTCCCTTCTAATTTAATCATAATCACTTTGAAGTTGATACAACAAAATTCTGCCTCTCTAATTGCACAAAATCATCATTTGGAAAAGCTTAATGATCTTGTTAATATGGTCAATCGTTTGTGTGTCGTTTAAATGTCGTTTAATTGTCCAAAAATGATCTTGTTTCTACTTGATTGTATATCTCACAAACAAAAGGACTGGAATTTAATTTCTTCAAAGTGATCAAAATAAAAAAAAAATCTTAATTTGATTTAATTATTTTAACCAATTTAACCCATAACATCAGCTAATCATAATTTCCTTCACAACAATTAATCCAAATATTCACTTTACTTACTGTGTTCAATTGTTTTGTTTCCAATTTATCAGCTAATTGTAAACAATTTCAATCTTTTTGTTGATTTATTGTAATAATTATATAAGTATAAGAAAATCAAACAATCAACAAAATTAATCAACCAAATTTGAAACTTTTCAATGAAAATGACCTAATATTTAACCTATTGTTAAATTGTTTCTTATTCTTAGACTGACCTACTAAATTTCATTTAATTACCATTTAACAATTCAACCAATTTAATACAATTTATTAATTGGTTAAATCAAAAACCGCATCATAACCGTTGCAAAAGTAACTACGGAAAATGAATAACCGACTAATTGTCAATCTTTTCAATTAAAAATAATTTTGTTAACATAATCAACACCTTTTCACCTAATTAGTGCTAATTACCAACAATTAAATGTAACAAAAATATAATCATAATTATGATGATATTTTCCTAATTTGGTTTCCCTTTTCCTGATGTTAATCATTTGGAGGGAAAAGTTGACAAATTTAATTTAATTTTCTTTCGTTCATCTAAATATTTGTAATTACATTATTTTCTCAATCAATTAATCTTTAATCAAAGTCGACGTAACAATTAAAAATATCAAACACTTTCTACATTTTTTTCATCTTTCATTGAGTCCTCACTATCTTCATCAATATCGCCAATTGATTGTCCAGTTTCTTCCTGTTGACCATTAACATCCTCATCCTCATCCTCATCCTTATCCTCATTTTCATCTTCATCATTACATGTTAATAAACCTCGAGATTTCAAAAGTAAATCAATCTCCTCCAATGGAGCTCTTAATCTGATTTCTTTTTCAACCATAATCGTAATCAAATCAGTTAGAAGATGAGGAAAAGTATCAATGGCATCGAGATAAATTATTCTTGACCAGGGACAATGTTGAACTGCCTGGTAAACAATTGATTCAGCTCTCTTGTGGTTTCCATGGGTCATATTGAATTTCAGGTAAAATCGCCAAAGTAAAACAATACCTTGATTACAAGGGAATGATAAACATCTTTCAAATAGACTATTTATCCGTCTAATTATACCATCGAAAGATTGGAAAGAGCCTTCGATCGAGTCTGAAAGAGAAAAACAAAAAAAAATCAGAAAAAAAGAATCAATTAACTGTTAACTTTATCCAAATGAACAATTCAACATTCAGGGTAATCAGAAACATCTCAATAACAATAATAAATCATTTCGAACTGCAATTTGCTTTTCTCATTCTAACCTATTTAAATGGGTTCCATTCAATAGATTTTCTTATGCCTCAAACTAATGAGTAAGGAAATTATGAGACCTTATTGACCTAAGGTCATCAACTGCCCTTTGGGCAGTTAAGGCCCTTAATTTTTGAAGGGGTTACGGTTGCAATTCAAATGCGTGACTTGCCTACTATTTGCAAGTTGCCTTTGATTGTTAACTTTACCCCAACAATTAAAGATGAAAAGTAAATTAGCAAATGGATAAGTTGTTGTATTGTGTGAATTATGATCAGAAATAGTTGGTTAATTTGATAGTTACCTTTGATTGTTGTTAATCGTTTCAGTTCAAAGTGTAATTTAAAAATCCAAATGTTGAGACAAGATGAATTTGTTGAACGGATTAATTGGGTGAAAAATCTGTAAGTGAAAAAGACAACAATTAACAATTGATTTTCTGATAAAATTTATGTAACAATTAAGTTAATTACCTGTCAACTGTTATTGGAAGTGCGATATTGGTTTCAATTGTTGTGAACAATGAAAGAAATGGTTTATTATCAGGAAATAATTCTAATGCTGAACGACATGTTTGTCGCAATCGAGAGATTGATTTGATTTTTCGACGAGCATCAAATATCAACAATTGAAGGTAAATTGTGAAAATTCCAAGTAAATTACTTTGATCAACTAATCCATTCGAGAGTAAATTGTCACAACAATTAAATGCTTTGTCTGAATCGTCAACAATTAAGAGTAAAATGAGTTTAGAAAATGAAACGTCCAAATAATATTCATCTTCCTCTTGGGTCATCGTATCCAACATTTTCTTTGCTTTCAGAATTGATGGTGAGTTAATTGTTTCGATTGTTTGACCAATGGTGACACTTGTAATTATCTTAATCACTTGGGTTTCTGATTCTTTTAAATTTTCTCCAATATATGAAAGATCAGTTGAATGAAAATCTCTTGAGATACCAAGTAGAAGTTCACAATAATATCGTGTAAATGATAACAAATAGCGAGAATTATTAATCCTTCCGGTGAATAAGTTAATTGCTGTGAAAATGTTAACAGCTTCTTTGGATTCATCAGATTTTTTCATCTCTAATTGTGCTAATTGAAGCCAAACATCTAAATCATTTCGATAAATTTCCATCTTAAGATAATCTTTGATTATCTTTTTAACTTCTTTGTACTTAATTGTTACATCAACTTGTTCAATTAGAAACTTTAACCGCCATATAATCAATTCCTTTTCCTGTTTCAATTGTCCTTTGAACTTTTCAATTGATTGAACGAAAACTTGATCTTGAAATGAAGTAAAACCATCGTAAATTGTAACTGGACGTAAATCGAAAAGACTTTTGACCGAAGAAAAAATTGATTTATCATCGATTAGAAAATGATCATCAAGAATATCGGATGAATCAATGGAACCAAGAAATTTGTGAAAAAAGACAATCAGTTGATATTTAGTTTGATCAAGGCGAAAACGGAATAAAATTCTGGTTAAATCTTCTATGGAAACATTTCTTTCGGTGTCGTCGGCTTGATCGGCATCCGGTCCTTTAACAGGAAGCCAATAATGTCTTTCACGAAGTAGTTCAAGTTGCAACCAAAGTGCCGATTTATTGTTACTAAATTGTTCAAACAACGGCTCCTCTAGTTCATCAATTGGAAGCCTTGAAGGTCCTTGATTAATAGATTTAGTTTTGATCACATTCATCCAACCAAGAGCACCGGGTTCACCGAATCTAGAACAGCCCGAGTCCCAAAAGGGTTCAAGTAACACTTTCCATTCGGCTACAGGTTGTTCCAGGGTTAAAATTTCGGGTGTAAACAGATTAAATTCAATGAGAATTTGCCAAATTGCAATCGATTTCTCTTCATATCCAGACTGCCTCAGGCAAATAGTAAAATGATAAAGACATTTAAGTATTTCCATCTCAAGGTTCGGTGTAATTTGGTGCGTTTGGAAGGTTCCCTCTAACATTGAGTTATAAATATCGAAACATTTATAAAATGCTCGAGTTATTTTTGTAATAGAAAAATATTTAAGATGAGTTTGTAAGAAGAGGAAATAATTTTTCCAAACTAACGGTACATTCGGATGAATGAAAATTAATCGTTTCCACTCTTTGTCAAGATCAAAAGGTGTCGAGGTGAACCTCATTATCTCAAGACGCTCTAAAATAAGACGCATACATTTTGGATTAGATTCCAAAGCTTTTTCAACGATACTGAGCTTCTTTTCTGCTAAAACGATTTCACGGGATTTTCTACAATTTTCCGATGCTGACCAGATGAAACAATCTTCTTGCCATTGAAGAAATTTGAACCAACCTTCGATGTCGTTTGGATGAGATCTCAAGTGTTCATTGAATTCCTTGTTCTTGTTTTGTATTCTCTTCTCATCTGTTGACAGGAGGAAATTTCTACATCTTTTGAGGCCGAATCTTTGGCGGGATCTTTGGCTTTATGTAAAATGATGTTACAGAATCATGGAAACTTTATACTATCGCCAATATTGCGAGTTTCATTGGAAATGACCTTAAATGCTAACCCAGTTACCGGTATCATCTCGGGTAAATTAATTGTTTCTCTCTCTGTGACTGATGGGAAAGATTCAGTGTCTTCGGGTGTATCATTGATCATCTTTTGTAGTTTTGAATCGAAATATCTTTCGGTTGTACTTTGTCGACCTTCATTCAAAATTTTACGCAAAGATTTGGTCCTTAGGCACTTTTTCTTATCATATGATGAAACGTGTAGATTGTAAATACTGTCGAATGCTAGATTATTTCTATCTGGTCGAGTATCTTGACGAAAAGCTTTTTCAGGCGGAAGTCCAACTTCTTCTAGAAACACTTTGTTACCAAAAACATTGCTATTATTTTCCTCTCTAATGATGGTCGGAGATTCTGATCTGTCAGTATCTCTTTTACGACTTTCCCTATTTTTATGACCTTTTCTCTTATCTCTTGATCGACTGGAAGGCGAATCATCATCTCTTTTCCTTCGGTGTGAATGTTTTCGTCTTGTTGCACTTCTGGATCGACTTCTGGAATTACTAGAATCTCGATATTTCTTTGATTTCTTCTTCTTTTTCTTTGCTCTATCTTTCACGGTAACAATTTCTTCGACTAGTTCAAGATCACTATTTCCATCGGCAACAGAATCACCAATCTCTCCAGCTGATAATTTACCTAATTCACCACTTAATTTACTTTCCTTGGCACAAACACCACCAACATCATCATCACCTAGTAAAGTTTCAACCGGCACTTGGAAACTTTGATTATAAAGCCAATCGGTATTAGTAAGATTTTTACTAATACCCGAAGATAAACTAGACGCCGAGGGAAACATAATCGAAATAGAAAACAATTTAAATAGTTGGAAAATATATACAAACAATTAGATGGAAAACATGATTAAAAATCTTCTCCAAATGAAAACATTGAAAAAAAATTCTTCAATTTTTGTTTACATCTCAAGTTGTGTTTAGAAAACACAGATGGCGCTTCCTTCGTATTTACGCCTTTTTGTTTACTTTTTGTTTCCTTTTTGTTTCCTTTTGTTTTTAATTGTTACTCTTTAATTGTTGTTAATTTTTTTTTATCCATAATGAATTTGATTAATAGTAAATTCTCAAAAAATGTTCGAGATACTTTGATAAAATCGTTTAAAACGTTAGGTCGAGATCCGAGTTACTTTTCTCAAGTCAAACAAGATGAAAGTGAAACTCATTCTTCTGATTTTGGTGAGTAGAAAATATTTTTTTTTAAATTCTAATTGTCATTTAATTAGACTAATTGTTTGTTTCTTTTTTATTTTATTCTATTCTTTTATGACTTTTGTATAGACTCAACTGACATGGGTTCAGAGGAACCATTCCTTGAATCAGCCAATCCAACTAAAATGATCCTTTTCTTGGAATACATTGTAACCAATGAGCCGGACAAAGCAGATGAATCAATTTATAACAGTTTACTTGATTGTTACCTGATTGTTTATAAAAAGGAATCAAATCAAGATGAATGTGATAATTTACGTAAAAAGATTATGTCACTTTTGAAAGACAATGCTGGAAAGTATAGCTTTGAACAAGCAATGATCTCATGCCGGATGAACCATTTTATTGATGGATTATTATTTATCTATCAACAAGCTCAACTTTATGATCTTATACTTGATTATTACATTGAAGTTGATGATGTTAATATGATTGTGGACACTTGTGAAAAGTTCAGCGAGGAAGATGAACGCCTATGGGTTCGAGCATTTTGGTATTTTGCCAAAATTCCGGAAATTGAGATGTCCCATTTACATCGAGTACTTGAAGAGGTAGACAAACGTAATCTAATACCACCCATAAGTGTCATCGACATTTTATCAACCAATTCACCGAATGCCACTTTAACTGCAATCAAAGATTATCTAGTCCGTTGGTTAACCAAAACAAGTGAAACTGTTACAAAAAACAATGAGCTTATTTCAGAATATCAAGAGTCAACCGAAAAGATGAGAGATGAAATTGAATCAATTCGAACTCAGCCCAAAATATTTCAATCAAGTCGATGTTCATCTTGTAAGATGCACTTAGAATTACCATCAATCCATTTTCTCTGTGGTCATTCATATCATCAGGGGTGTTTGGAATCACCAGAGATGCCATCAGACTCACCGAGAGACAAAGGATGTCCACTTTGTTTACCTGAGCAAATTAGATTAACAACAATGATCACAACACAAAAGGAAAACAATTTCGGTTCCATAATAGATGATGATTAACAATCAATTCCAAAAAATTAAATTTCTACATGTACATACACATATATTCATAAATATATCTTAAAGAAAAAGATTCAATTCCAAATAATCTATGTAAATATATCATCATTATCATCGAATCTAATATATATATATGGTCAAGCCTCCAGCTGATTGTGTTATTTTCCCACAAAGAGACAAAATAATTTGGACAATCAAAAAATCCTCCAAGATAAATGAAGAAAGTTAGAAAGTGAAATTGTAATTGCTGTTAAAAAAAAAATGTCACAACAATTATCAAAATTGTCATTCATTGTTAACTCTCAACCACCACCACCAAAACAACAACAATGATAATGAATTGAAATGGAATCACTTAATTGCTGGTTAATCAACAAAACTACTCCTGTTAAAACCTGTTACACTTTTACAACAATTTAACACCGCAACAAATGATTCATGTTTATTAAATAATTGTAATCAGTAGCAACAATTACAATGAAACCGCCATCAACATGAACACCATTATTATCACCAACATCAACATGATCACAACACCACCAACAAGAGCAATTTAATTGAACCTGTTAAATGTTAATTCCTAATTAATAGGAAGAGAGGGATAAAAGAAGGAGTGAATTTTCATGAAATCTAATTATCGTAGTTGCGGTTGATTGTTGAGTGTAAAAAACTCACACACACAGACAGAAAAGCAGAAAAAAAGTCAAATTGAAATAATTAGAAAAGAGAAACAAAATTATAAATTATTATCATTAGTTGATACGTTAATTAGTTAGTTATTTAACTACACAGAATGATTAGATTCCCAAACAAATAACAACAAAATAAATGGTCATTAAATTACTATTAGTTAACTTACACTTAAATAATATAAACGTAGTCACGATTAGCAAGGTAACAGAAATTAACTACAAATTCACCCAAGACTCAATTCAAAAGCTTTTTTGATTTAATTCCCTTTTTTTCACACAAATTTAAAGTTAATTTTAAAGATTCTAATCATCATCATTATAATTAACAATCATTATCATTACCATGATTTGTATTAATCAATTTGAGAGAGAGAGAGGAGAACTTGTTTTCTACTAAATTTTTTATTTAACTCGCGATTAACTTGATTGTGTTAACCATTTTCATTAACATCACAATTGATTCTGACAAAATTGACTGCGAGAAACAATCAGTTAATTTTCAACTACTATTACGTGTAAATTGTTTGTTGATTGTGCAAAATTTAACTATAAACAATTTAACTGAACCACAAGAAAAATTAATATCATTTACAATTAACTAACTTTCCAATATTGTTGATTGTTGAAAACAATTAGACAATCAAAAATACTCATTTATTTGTCTCAAACCATGAAAGTCAATTAGATGACAATTGAATGTGTTTGTTGATGATTGGAAAACAATTTATTTAATTGTTTATCAAACTATATTTAAACTCATCATCAGGATGTATCCATCTTCACTTATTAGTTAGTTAATTGTTTTAAGGTTAATTTGCATAAATGAAGAGGATGAATGATGATTAAGCTAAATATTTGTTTTCTAAATTGTTTATCATCCTCATCATTTGGAATCGGAAATGTCAAACAAATGAACTGAAATCGACATGAACCTTGACCCTTACTCTTGATAAACTGACCTTTTCTCATCCTCATCATCACATTGCCTCATTATCATCATCATCATGTGTATTTTGACACATTCAACATTGAACAATTTAAATAATTAGTTTGAAAACTTTGATTAATGTAATTAATTTAGTTTGAGGAAACTAAAATCAATTCTTCAACTGAAAATATTCAATTTACCAAAATTTTCAATTGATTAGTTGATATTTCGCGTTAATTTAGTTTATTGCAACCAACAATCTAACAATTGATTGATTTCTAATGATGATTTGATTAATTAATTCAATTAACAAGTAATTTAACTTTGGTGTAAACACTTAATGATTTTTTTTTCAAAAAAAAACGCAACTTAATTAATAATCAAACCTTTAATTGCTTCAGGCTGATTAATTCTGATTGATTGATTTAAATTGATTGACACTTTTCATTTGGGTGGTTGATTATCATCATCGTCTCATAATATAATCTTAATCATTGTTAATCACAAAACCTTTGACAATTTAACAATTATTGATTAAACTGTAAAAGATTAATACTTAATTTGATTAAGAGCTAAATCTAATTTAGTTTGATTGTTATCATTAAATAGAAAACAAAATTATACCAATCAAAATGTTAATCATTTTAATGATTAACTGATTCACCAAAAATCATGAACCTTTAATTGTAATCACGATTTTAATTGTTGAATCTTGATTAATATTCACAACCAACAGAAGCTGCTTCTGAATTGTTCAATTGGTTACAATTAAACTCAATATATTTTTACAATTAACTTTGTTTTTTTTAATTATGAAATGATTACAATTAAATTCAGTCAAATTTGAGTAAATTGCAGTGGTAAACAATAATTAATGTTTAATTGTAAGATGTTTAATTAAATGAATATCAATCAATTATATTGAGAAGAGAAAAAAAAATTTTCTATAAAATATAAAAAAAGAAACTAAATTAAATTTAATTTCTGTCTTAAGTCTGAATGATTGATGAGGATCAACAACAATTTACCTTTAATTAACCAATTGGCTAAACATTTGGTTAATCAATTGAAAGGTAATTAATAATAATAAACTGTTAATATGTAATAAGATTCAGATGAACAAACTTGACAAGTTTGATTGTTTGATTACAATTATCATCATCATTACGAGTAATCAGTTAATTGAACTATTAATTGCGAGCAAATTACCAGTTAATTGTCAATTAGATTGTAAAATAATATCAAATTTAATTCGGAATCAGGAATCTTAATATCAAATCGTCAGCACGTTGTCATGGTGATAGCATCTCTTAAAGATGAAGATGGAGATGAAGATGAAGATGAAGATAAAGATGAAGATAAAGATGAAGATAAAGATGAAGATAAAGATGAAGATAAAGATGAAGATAAAGATGAAAACATTGTATTGATTTGCTATTGATTGTTAAAACTTTTGCCAACTGTAAATGTTAACAGGCAGACACTAAATTAACCTGAATCGTTTTAAATTGTTGTTGAGTTAATCACAACAACAAGTGATAAACATGAAACCAATTGAGCAATTTGAAGTGTTTTTTTTGCTGAACTATAATTGAGTGATTTAGTGTGGATGATGATTAAGATGATGATGATGAAGATTAGGATGAGGATGAGTAGGTTGTTTGTAATCGGATGAATTACTTCAAATGATTTTTTTGCCAAAAAAAAGTGGTTCCTCTAATAATAATACACAAAATGTTATCACATTTGTTACCAATCAACTAATCATCATTTTCATCATTGGTGATGATTAAGATGATCGGTCTATGAGAATTAAATTGTAAAATTAATCTTCGAGTTTATCAATCGGAAGGAAAAAAGTTCTATCGAATTTGATAAAACTTTCCAAGTTCGAAACTTTTGTTTTCATGATCAGTTACGAGTCTTTAATTGTTGTGAAACAATTGAATCAGTGTTAATTGTATTTTCTAATAATTCTGATAAATCATTGAAATTGTAACAATCATTTTCCTAAATGATTAATGATTAGTTATTGTATTTGGAAAAAGTTCCCAAATGATAATCATGTCTAATGATAATAATTAACGATAATGATATTTTTCGTTAATAGTTGTTACTGATTCTCAATCTTTGATTAGCTTAAATAATTAATAAATTGTTTGTTGGGTGGTTTTTAAATTAAGAAGCTTAAAAAGACTCACAATTAACACACATACACACAAATCATGAGGTAAATTTAATTAATTATTAGTGATTGTAATCAGTGGTTAAAATATTACTACAAATGATCAACATGATTTAAAGATAATAATCAAAACCAGCAAGCAAATTAATTGTTATTTAACATTTGAAATGATTAACCAGAAGAAAGAAGTAAATTTTAAAACTGAAAATCAATTAACAATTAACATGAACACATTGAAACGCCTTCAAGTAACACCTTTAATCAAAATTGATTATTTTCTGTGTATTTCTTGTAATCATTGAAACAATTGGAGGTGGTCAAGTGGGCAGTGATTAGGATTGATGGTGATGGAGATAAGGATCATCATGATCAACCTCCTCATCATCATCATGATGAACATTTTTATTGGATAATAAGATGAGACTAAATCTATTGGTTTTTCAATAATCAAATCTAATTATAAGATTGTTTCTGCTTCCGTTTATCATCATCATCATCATCATCATCATCATCTCTCTCTCTCTCTCTCTCTCTTACCTTATCATCATTTCATCTTGTTTCATTTTCCTCTTGTTAATAGATTGACCCTCAGGGCTTTTCAATGAAACTTTTTTCTTTCTTTACTTTCTCATCTTCATCATCTCTTTACCTTTCCAATGTTTTGACATTACCTTAAATTGTTAAGGTAAATTTATCTTCAACCTACCTTGATGAATCTTCATTTTTCATCATCGGATTATCCAGTATCATCATCATCATCTTTAATTGCATTGGATTATTGATATATTACTTATTAACTAACTAGCTAGTTAACTAATCAAAACTAACTATGCACTTGATATAAATCATAACTTTTTTTTATCATCATCAACAACAACAACAACTTGTCTTATTAATATTTATAATAATTAATATGATATATTTTCATCATTGTGAAGGTCAATGTATTTACCTGAGATTTTCAAATAATAATTGACCATTCAGTTAATCTTAACATTACAATAATCAAATCTGTCCACTCACATTCAATTTGTAGTATAACAATTGATTGTGAATCAATTTGTAAATTTTTCATTCACAAAATTGGTCATTCGTTAAATTATTAATCTTAATGTGTTAACCAACCAGACAATTGAAAATTGATTTAGTTCATTTAATGACAATTAAGGAGAGTTAATTTAAGCTTTGTTACAATCAAAAGGAAACACCGACTTAATCACTTGAAATAAATGAAGTAAATTATATAATTAAAGTTAAACTAATTTAAGGTGCAAGAAAAAAGCGTGAGATTAATAAGGAAAAGTGATTAATCTAATTGCAACAATTTAAGTTAATTTGGTTTTGTTATTTTTTTTTTTTCATCTTGATGATGAGCACGATCAACATGATGATTACAATGATGATGAGGATGCTAAAAATGATATTACCTATGTGAATGAATCATAAGTGCGTGTTGATTAAGTGTAGAAAATGTTTAATAGAAATTAAATTGTCACAATTAACTTAATTTCTATTACCAATCAATATTATCTATCAGTTAATTGTCTCATCAATTGCTGATAATCAATGAAGGATTAAATTATTAATATGAAAAAGTTTAACTGATCATCAATTAAGTTATTATTATTATTTTCCTCTGCTTAATTTGCTTAATTAGTTGCGGTTAATTAATTAATCGGATGAATTAATTGTTGTAATGTGAAAGAGCCATTTGCTGTTAAACAATTAGTTTTCATTGATGATCAATTTTAATCAATGATTGTCATCAATTTGAATATATCATTAGATTGGTAAGAGAATGAAAAATGATTAACTTTTAATTATTACTTTGGGTAATAATATTAATTGGTGACCTGGTTGATTGATTGTTACTTTAATTGTGATTATCGACATGAAAATAATTTACAAATCGTTTTTAATTGTTGATGAGTAACAAAAGAAGAATTTAAATTAATTTAATTATAACAAAATCGTTTCAAGGAAAATGATGATGAGGATGATGATGAAAGTGATGAAATTGATGAGGATGCTGATGGTGTAATGAGAGGTGATGATGACCATTGGGTGGGAATCCGGAGGAAAGTGAAAACGGATGAGATGATAAAATGGTCGCCGGTCTTGAGGCCATACGAATTTTTTCAATTTCCGCTTCTTTTAACCGTTTCTCTTTGGCTCGACGATTTTGGAACCAAATTTTGACCTGAGTTTCGGTTAAATTAAGAGAAGATGAGAATTCGGCTCTTTCAGCAATGGAAAGATATTGTTTAGCTTTAAATTTACGTTCTAAGGCGAGAAGTTGTTGAGTGGTAAAAGGAGTTCGAGGTTTTCGATTGGACTTGTGTCGGCGAAGTTGACATTTCATGGTTGTAGGTATTTTCAAGGGCTCTAAGGGTTCACCTGAGAAATTGGTACCATTCATTGATAGAATTGAGTTTGGTGTTGATGATCCGATTCCTCCGCCTCCTCCTTTGGCTGCAGCGGCAGCGGCTGCAAATCGATAGTCTAATAGTCCTGAAACAAGAGCCGCTGCTGCGGCTGCTGTGTTTGTCGGAGAGGGTCGGTAAAGGTAAGCGTTCAGCATGGAGGCAGAGGTTAAGGTCGATAAACAATTTGAAGGTTCCTGTTGATTTGGTGATCGAGATGAAGATGATGCTGATGATGATTGTCGTGGTAAAATTGTTTGGGACGATAAAGGTGTCAATCGATTATCATCTTCCGGTTCCGGTGTTGATCGAGCTGAAGAGAGTGACATAGTTTCCTGATTATTTGTATCTTCATCATTTGATTCATTATTATTATCCCAATCAATTGTTGTTGTTGGTGTTATTGATTGTTGAGAAGTAGAATCACAATTAATAATAATCCTTGAACCATTCTCTTGATCAGTTGATTTAGCTGATTGTTGATGATTAATTGATGATTTTGAAGTCTCATCTAATCCTAATATTTGTTGAATATTAAAATGTGATTTACTTGGTGTAGTTGATAATGAACTCGGTGTTACCATGACTTTGGTATATCAAATCAAAACAAAAAACAAATTGTAAGACAAAACAATTAACAACTTTGTTAACAATCAAAAAACAAAGTTTAACTAAATTTAAAGCCAATTAAAGGACATTAAACATACTGATAAGGCAAAATTACATTCAAAATGGTGACACAAGTAAATTAACTGATTGAATGATCAACAATCAAACAAAATGTTCAATTAGAAATCAATTATTGATAATAATTAAAATATCAATAAACAGTGTTGACTGTTGGCAATTTGTTAGCTGGTTTCACCTTTATTTTGACTGAAGTTGATTAAAAATTATGATGATGATAAGGATGAAGATGAAGATGATGCTGAAGATGAGGATGATGAGGAAGATGAAGAAAAGTTTGTTTTGTTAATAACATTATAGTTCCGCCTTCAACTCCACCCAAACATTTAGTTCTAACCAATAAGAATAACGATTTACTGTAGAAAAGGAGGAGTTAGAACTTTTTCCCATTCGAGTTGATTGTTGAATCCAATTTCAATTACGATAATTAAGAGAATCATGAGCAACAATCAATAAAAATTAACTAATTTTCTTAATAAAACCTGATAACTTTGAGCTTAATCCTTAATCACCTTAATCATGTTTATCTTATTTTACCTTTTTAACTTTACAGTCTATTAATTGTTGTTTCCTTAACACAACAATTAACCTTGTGGTAAATGGTAACAATTAAGGTTAACCTCAAATTGTTGGATTATTTTTTTTTAATGAGTATCACTTGATTAACAATCAAAGTTTTGACTGTTTAAGTCTTTGATTTTGAGATATTTGAGAGAAATTAGTGAAAAATGATCAATTATTAGTTGAACGAATCAAGCTAATTGTTGTTCAATTAGAAATGATCTTATTTAAGTGTCTATCATGTTATAAATAAATATCAATAGCTGATAATTATAATTGTCATGATTAGTTGATTACTGAATATGAGCTGTAAGTTGTCATATTTATTATTCATGTTATTGGTTGGAACAATCAAATTGCAATTATCATTAACGTTACCAGATAATTTTTTCACTACAATCTGTCATCGGTCCTATTTTTTTATCCATATCTTTATCTTCATCTTCATCCTCATCCTCATCACCAACCGCACACTCAGCATCTCTTAGCATCATCTTAACATTTGCCAATTTCAATTTCAATTTTAAATTCAGATTCGATTCCAACTTCATCATCATCTTCATTATCTATTTATAGTCTCATTTAAATCTATTATTATTACATCATGATAAATATCCTCATCCTCATCCTCATACTCATCTTCATCCTAATCTTTATCCTCACCACCATCATGATAATGATGCTGATCATCATGAAGATGAAGAAGAAGATGATGATGATGATGATATTTGAGTGATATGATTATCAATGAATTCACACCAAGATAATTACAAGTGTGTTAAACATAATAATAATTATCAACATCATCAATTTTCAAAGACTCGATGATAACAATTTGATTCACAATCAACTAATTATTAACAATCGGTCATAATTTAATCTTCTCTCAAATATTAATATAATAATTTATTAATAGTTATTCACCAAGTTTCAAACAAGTTTCTCATGAATAACGAGCTGTTTGAATATCTTTCACCATAGATTCAAGTATTAATTCAAGAGTTTAAGTAATACTTATTTGTCATATTTTAGCATCAAGATCATTTCGATCATTTCGTAAGAAGCGAGATCTCTCAAGGTCATTTGATAGTCGCAATCATCATGTCTAATTTTCAAAGTTGAATTCAATGTTACCATCAAATGACCTTGAAAATTACTCCTTGTAAAGGGAGCTCGTTATTATTGAGAAATGACAATAAAGTTTCATCCAAACTCTCAGAATCTGAAGTCAAAATCCTCAAAATCAAAACGTTATTCATGAAAAAAAACTTGATGAGCTACCCTGTAGATCAACATATCAGTTTAAGACTTTAATTGTTTCACATTTAATGTTAAATATATTGATAACTGTAAGTTCCTGATTGTGTTAATTGGCAACGATCATAGAAAATCAATCACAATAATGAATGAAAATCAAATGTTGCATGAAAACGGTTTTCTAATTTTGTCAACAATTAGGTGAACTTAATTGTTATTTGAAAAATTTTGCCCGCTTTAAATTGTTAAAATCAATTATCGTCTTGAAAAGTTTTGTGTTTTTAAACTTGATCTTGCCAAGATGATTAACTTAATTAGTATGATGAAAAAAAGGCTGAATATCAATTCACCATTAGCAACATCAACAGTTTGTAAAGTTGATACTTACCGGAAACTCAACAATTAACTTTGCAACAATTAGATTAGTTCTGGTATCATAGCTTGAAACAATTTACAAGCAAAATGATTATCATCAAATTACAATTAACACAATAACCCACCCATAATCATTACTGACCATTACAATTACCACCCACTGACCATCAGCAATCAGCTTATTATCACTAAACTGAGCGACAACAATTTAAATTAAAACACAACAAAACAGGATAAAAAATTAAAGGATAAACATTAATGTGATTTTAATTGTCTTTGACAATTGTTTAATTACGAATAGTAAAACAATTCAATTAAGCTATAAAAAATAAATCGTATCATCACAATTAAGATGCTGATTCTTTAATGATTAATGATTGATTAATGATTTTATCAAAGAGTAAGAATGTTAATCTTGTTTAACTTAATATGATTTGTGATGATGATTAACTTGATTACATACAAGATGATGATCCAGGTGAAGGTGATGAGTTAATTGTTTTCCTAGTATCAGAATTAATTGGATTATTATTGTTACTATTAAATAGATTTGATTGAGCCAACAGATTAAGGTGGGACATTAAACCAGCAAATGGATGAAGATTAGATTGGGATGATGATGGATTAACATTAGATTGATATTGATAAGGATTATGATGACTAGAGGATGATGATGATATTGGAGGTGATGAAGATGAGATTAAATTATGAGCATGATGATGAGGAAGACCATTGGATGATAATACTGATGGATGATGTGCTTGATTGTGGTGATGGTGTAATGAGAGGTGATGATGACCATTGGGTGGGAATCCGGAGGAAAGTGAAAACGGATGAGATGATAAAATGGTCGCCGGTCTTGAGGCCATACGAATTTTTTCAATTTCCGCTTCTTTTAACCGTTTCTCTTTGGCCCGACGATTTTGGAACCAAATTTTGACCTGAGTTTCGGTTAAATTAAGAGAAGATGAGAATTCGGCTCTTTCAGCAATGGAAAGATATTGTTTAGCTTTAAATTTACGTTCTAAGGCGAGAAGTTGTTGAGTGGTAAAAGGAGTTCGAGGTTTTCGATTGGACTTGTGTCGGCGAAGTTGACATTTAACTGAGCCCACGGTGGGTAAGGATGATAGGCCTGAGTTGAGGGACATTGAATGATGAGAGTGGGACAAGTGGTGCTGAGCGTGATGAGGATAACCATTCGGGTGCCCTTGGAGTCCGGACATTAGGGCAACTGCTGCAGCGGTTGTGGGTCGATATAAATAAGCATTCAACATGGATGCTGATGAAAATGTGGGAAACCCTGTTGTTGGTGCTGTTGATGAGGTGTTAATGAGGGGGAACAAGTTGGAGTCGGTGTTTGATTTTGATCAGAATCCATATTCTGAACTTTATCATGACCATTACTTTTCTGTGATGATGTTGATGATGATGACGATTTAGCCTCTTCATTATTGCTTTTAATTTGATTCGATGGAGATTGTTTTTGTTGATTGTTTGGTGATAATGATGATGATGATGGTCGAGGCTGAGGTGATAACGATGCTGATTTAGTCTTGGGACTGTTGCAATTGTCGTTGGATTTAGTTTTCTTATCGTTTGGTGAATTCCAACCACCATTAGTGATTATTATCGGTGTTGGTGTTGGTGTACAAATTGTTCCATCACCATCACTATCATCATCTTCTTCATCCTCATCAATTTCTTCACCTTCCACTTCCACTTCCTCATCTTCATCTTCGTCACAATCGATCGGTTCAACAATTGGTGTACTTCGACCTGAATCACACTGGTTAATTACAATCGATGAGGTTGTCGATTCATCTAAGCCCAAAATTTGTTGAATATTAAAATGTGATCGACTGGTTAAAGATTCAGAACTTGGTGTTACCATGATGATTCTGGTAGACATGAAATTATCGTTAATTTAACTTTTAAATTCAATGAATCAAACGAAAGCAATTTAAACACATTAGTACAAAATCAAACTCAAACTTGACAAAAGTAAAAAAGTCAAATCCAAAGTTACTAATATCAAAACAATTTAATTACTAAATTGTTAATCACTTGATAATCATTTCCGTTCATCTGAAGCAATTACAAACTCATAGATTTCGGTTAATTGTCACTTAAGTTAAATGTTAACAATCACAATAGGAAACAATTAAAATTGCACACAGAGATTCAATGATTTAGTTTGTAAATACAAAATCAAACAATTTGATTGTGTAATTGTGATGATTACAAACTGATTATGATTAAGATTATGATTCAAATGATTAGGTTGATGGTGATGACGATTTAACAAATAATAAACATCATTTGAGTTCCGCCTTCAATTTAGATAACTCCTCCTTTGGAACTGTAGATTGGGAGGAGTTTAAACTAAATACTAGTTTTCTAATTATAATTAACAATTAACTAGTTAATTAACAATCTATCAAAAACAAAGAAAACAAAAGGTTCATTTTTTGCTGTAACGAACTGGAAACAATTAACAATTGAGCCGAATTTATTAGTCACATTGAAGCTTCTCGTCTCAACGAATCAAACAATCAACTCAAATTAGTGACAATTAAATTTAATCCGATTATCGTAAGTAATTGTATTCTCAGTGTTTCCTAAAAGTTCATGATCAGAACAACTTTCTGCTGGTTGAAATGATTTTAGAAGGTTAAAAATACAATCAGCTGATTATAGAGATTCAGGTAAATAATATTTACAATCGTGAAGATATTTATCATCATCATGATTCATCATCTTCTTCATCATCTTCATCATCATCTTGTTCTTACCTTGAAAATGATGAACACAACTAATTTGAAAGAGAAGCAAAAGTTTGAGAATTTTTTTCAATTTTCTTTTTTCTTTCCAATGATAATAATTAACTTAAACTCTCATGTCAATTATGGTTAACCTCAAGGCGTAAATTAGTAAATTAATCAATTGATTAATTATCCTATCACCCAATACATTTACCACCATCACCTTGGATCGTTTAATTGATCATCTTTATCCTCATCCTCCTCCTCATCATAATCATCATCCATTTACTTTTGCCTGAGGTCACAAAATGAAAATCGTTTGTTAAGATGAAATTTCAATTGTAAAACAATTTACTCGTTAAAAAATTAGTAAACAATTTAAAATATTATTGAAAAATTTAACAATTAACCTTAATCATCAAATATATTGATCAACACAAATTGATTACTATCTTCATCCCTAACAGTCACTATTGTTTATTTCATTCATGTTATTGGTTGGAACAATCAAATTGCAATTATCATTAACGTTACCAGATAATTTTTTCACTACAATCTGTCATCGGTCCTATTTTTTTATCCATATCTTTATCTTCATCTTCATCCTCATCCTCATCACCAACCGCACACTCAGCATCTCTTAGCATCATCTTAACATTTGCCAATTTCAATTTCAATTTTAAATTCAGATTCGATTCCAACTTCATCATCATCTTCACCATCTTCATCTTCATTATCTATTTATAGTCTCATTTAAATCTATTATTATTACATCATGATAAATATCCTAATCCTCATCCTCATACTCATCTTCATCCTGATCTTTATCCTCACCACCATCATGATAATGATGCTGATCATCATGAAGATGAAGAAGATGATGATGATGATGATATTTGAGTGATATGATTATCAATGAATTCACACCAAGATAATTACAAGTGTGTTAAACATAATAATAATTATCAACATCATCAATTTTCACAGACTCGATGATAACAATTTGATTCACAATCAACCAATAAATCGTTCAAATAAAATAGTAGCAAACTAAATCTATCTGGGCAGTTATCAACATTTTAACAATCAAATGAATTAACTAAAACAACGGGATGAATACAATATTGGTATAATCATTAATTTCAATTTGAGATGTTTAATTGCTTCCAATGATTAAACATCGATATGCAAATAAATAGGTCTAAGTAATCAATTTCTTTCATTTAATTGTTTATCGTGTCAATTGTAATAATGGTTTAAAGTGATTAATATGATGACTTAATTGTCTTTATCTGAAACTAAATTAAGTTCATATGTCACAGTGATTAATACTCATTTAGAACTGTTTTGTTTTATTCAATCAATCAAATCTGAGCTCAAATTGATTGCAATTAACTGATTGTGTGATAAATGAAAATATTGTTGGTTAATCATGATCATTGATTAACAATTATTTCAAAGCAATTAAGCTTCAAATGCTTTTGTATATCAAAAAGTCACAAACAAAAAACTTAATCAAATTTATTAATTATCCCAGTGGATACGATACAATAAAAAACCTTTAATTATCCCATCAGTTAATTGTTATTATCTTAATTGAAAAATTAAACTTTGACAAACAACTATTAAGGTCAATTGGAAATCATTATTAAATCAATTGCGTGAGTTGATCAATTTTAAAGTTTAAAATGAAAAACAAAAGTTTCGAGAGCGATTCGAGTTTTTAATTGTTATTAGTTAAGTTAATTACTCCTGGATTACTGTAAATTATAATGATTTCATCTCTTGGATGATAATTTAATGATCAGTATGATTTAAGACTAATTATCTTATCGCATTGAACATTAGAACTTTTTTTTAATCGAATCTGTTTCTCTCTTTCTCTTTCCACTCGTCTTAATGATTACTAATCATTAGCAGTTTCATCAGATTGATTCAAACAATATAATGATTAGTTAATTATCATCTAAATTTCTGATGGAAAAATAAATCAATAACAAAACGATTTGTTTATTATTGGAAAGAAAGAAAGAAGAGAGAGAGAGAGGGAGAGAGAGAGAGAGAACTTCGAACTAATCTAAATACAGAACTTTCTTACTCATCCCTATCTTTTTATCCTCCCACTTCCTCTTCCTCTTTATAAGAGCAGTTTAACCAATCAAGTTGGAGAAAAATAATTCAACTAATTTGCATATGTGATGATAATGGTTATACTTTTAACCCGCAATTTGATGACAATTAAAATGACAATAATGATGACTGAGTAAACTGTCATCATTAGAAGGAGGATATTTCCTGTCTTAAAGTCACCAATTTGAAACCACAAAACTGTTTGACCAGAACAACAGAATAAGAAGAAGATGAAAAGAAGGAGATGATGAGGAAGATGAAGAAAAAAAAATTCGAATGGAATTTTCATCCTCATCATCTTTGTGGTTTCAAGTGAACCATTTAAAGTCTCAATGAGTCTCAGTAGCATCAAGAGTGTAAATGAGCTTCTTGACGGGAGATGTCAGGAAGACAGAGAGAAGATGATAAACTATTAATATAAAGAGAGAGAGAGAGAGAGAGAGAGAGAGAGAAATATGTATCTTATTTATCTTCCAAAAATATTTGTTTTCATCTCAATCATCATTTGCATCCTCATCATTTACAATAAAATAACATTCATCAAACTCAGTCAACTATTTGCTTTACTTTCTTAACGATAACAATTAACGATGAACCATGTTAATTGTTATCATTACCATAGGTAAATTGTCCTAAATCAGTTATTTTACAAGATGAAAATGATGATGATGATGATGATGAAAGATGCTATCAAGATTAGTAGATTAGATTAAACCATTTGATTGTTTTAATAATAGTTAACTGGATAATAACCAAGAAGATGATCTTGATTAGAGGAAAAAGTCAAAAATGATAACATTATGATAACGATGATGATGATGATGCTGGTGATGAAATTGATTAAAGCCTTTACTACAATTATCCACCAAGGAAGATGATTTAGAAATGATAATCGGTTTAAGTGTCATTAACGAGTGATTAGTTGATTAGTTAAACGGGAAAATAAATTAAAGAAGCTAAAAAAACATAACAACAACAATTTAAATCCAAACAACAACTTCCACTGACAAGGTTAACATAATAGGTTAATCAGTTGATTAGTCAAGTTAGTTAGCCATTTACATTGACACGGAAGATGAAGATAAGATGATAGAAAGAGAGAGAGAGAGAGGTAGATAATAAGAAAGAAGATGATAAAGAGAAGAGAAAGAGAAGAAGCAGAAAAAATAAAGAGCCTGAGGCGAAATGTTATGAAGAAATTGATGAAAGATAAAAAAATTAACCATGAAAAAGAAGATGAGTTTTTCATGAGAAGAAGATCATCTTCCTTCATCATCTTCTTCTACATCTTCATGTAAGTTGAGTATCATCAGCATGAGGTAAAGAAGGAAAATATTTCCAAACTGACCAGTGGTCCAACAAGTGACCACTGATTGTAACTTATCAGTTGCAGATCAATGGACAAACTTGATCCCTTGTAAGTGTTACAAGTTTATCTTAAGGCAATTGTATTAGTTTTCCTTGTGAATGACTTGCAAAAAAATAGACCCACTGGTCATCTGATGGTCAACATTGATTACTGATTGTTAATTGTTAACAATCAAGCCAATATTGGTTACGTTTATGCCAATAAGCAATCAGGGAAAGAGGTTAATTATCAACTAGATTGATTTGTGATTAGATTATTATTCAATTATGATGGTTGATTTTGTTTCAACTAATTTGATTTTTTCGTTTACCTGATCAATTGATTAACGATTTCCAATCAATACTTTTATTTAATTGTTTTGGTCTTTATTTGTTTATTATTTTTAATCAATTGTGCTGATTGATTTTTAATTTATTGCCTTCTATTATTAATTACTTTGTAATATAAATAAATAGTTGATTAACTTTAATTTTCCGTTTTAATTGCAATGAACAATTAACTTAATTATTACGTTTTAAGTGTTCACATTTTTCAAACCAATTAAATTGTTTGACAGTTTTGATTGATTTTACTAAATTAACAATTAATATCATTTAGTCAATCAATCATAATATTAGTTTGATTTGATTTGTTTTAATTGATTTTAATTTTTTTCCCCCTAATCAATAGTAATTAAAGTTAATCATAAGTTTCCTAGATGTTTAATCACAATTAGTTAATATGAAACAT